GGCGGGTCGAACCGCGCATATGTTCGCCCGCCGTGGCGAACGCGAACATGCTATGTTCGCCAGGAACCGTTCGCCGGCGAACCGTTCGGTACATCACTATTGAACGTATATCCATTAGTTACTTTGAATTAGACGCGGTCCTCAGGGAACTTCTAAGGACCGTGGGGTTCCATTCCTGGTAAGGCGGCTCAATTTTCTTCCTGGCGAGATAAGTATCTGGGGCATCATTCATTTAGACGATAATACAGCCTGGCTGGCAGGTTTTGATGAATTTAGGACATTCGGGAATACCAGAACTATCTGAAGAGATTCTTCTCATTTTTCCATGAGGACATTTCGCTGTACGGTCTACCCGGATGGGCTTGCTGGACCCTCTGCGAGGTATCCTCCCAGACCGAAAGGTCAGGCGCTCTCTGTGTTTCCCTTGTTCGGGTCCCTGGATTTTGTGTTCAACCAAGGAAATATCGACCCCCTCTACATCTCAAGAAGTAGAGTCCTGGAGGGCGGATTGGACGCGAGGGGGTGCCTCCTACGCCTTCCTCTACCCGTGTTCTCGTATGTTTGGAATACTTTTTCCTGCTTCAAGACTTTAGTCCACAGAGGAGGACCCATCAGGCCTGACCAGTTTCAGCTGGCGTACAGACCCGTTTGCTCAGTGATGGACGCTTCCCTCCAGGGGTGTTCGACATGGAGACGCTGACGAGTCTCCTCTGTTTATTTGGTTCCAGGACCTTACTACAGGTGTCTCGGTCTGCTGGTATGTTGTTTTAGGTCCTCCGCTTCGGCCGAGTCGAAACTAGACATGCGGGTTCATGGGGGTGTGAGTCCTTTACGATTCCCGAGGACGGGTTTCCTTTATTATACCTTGTTTTTCTTTCAAATGGGTTCGGATGGATCGGGCCTTAGTTGTCTATCGGCTCTAGTCGGACCTGAAGGTTATATTCTTATCTTCTTATCTTGGTTGCGTGTCCCTCCTTTATGCTGTGTTCAACGCTACCATTTGCTTAGGCGGTTATTTTCCTTTTTTCGTCCTTCAACCGCTCAGTTATTGTTGACATTGGCAGGGCGTATATGTCTTTTAGGTTCATTTCAGTCGGTAACACAGTGACTTCATGCGCCGTCATGGCAGGCACATTTCTCCTAGACATCGTACACTTTCCTGCAGGTTATGAGGAGCTATCTTTGCATAGTTTAGTTTGCTGTCTGAGCGTTAAAACAGAAATATGAAGCCTCCTGTCATGTTATAAAATTGTAGATTATACTAGCTTTAGTGTAACTATAATCCTAATTTTATTAATGACAGGAGGAGAATATTTCCCGCCCAGTTTCTCCCCTTGTTTGTTTGTTGGTTTAATTGACCTTTTGTTTATTCACCTGGTCTCCTGGGCTAGGTTTGTTAATTTTGGGGAGTTGGGGTTCATCTGGAATATGGTACTGCCAGTATTTTATGATGGGGGTTTTTTCTCAGTATCTGGGATATTATATTGTCAGTATTTGACAATGGGGATTCATGTTTTCTCAGTACATTTCATTCGCTAATCAGTGTTTTCGACTCTGTTTATCTCGTTTCAGTTTAATGGTTCGGCTACTTAGATCTACAGGATAAAGGTCAAGGCTTCATCCACTGGTTCCACGTTTTCAATTTCGTTATGTTTGTTTCTTCTGTTATTGTATTGGTGGTGTATTGTTCATGTACTTAATTTTGTCGCAGCTTTATTTTGTCAGTTACATTGAGGAAACCCAGCACAAGAGACTGGTGCACTGGGGGGTGGTTAAAGAGCAGCTCACCCAGCGCTCCAGCCCAAGACAGGAACAGCCACCAGGAAACTTCTCATTGGGTGCACCCAGTAGGTGGGCGCACCAGGTGAATGCCTCATTCACCTAATGGTAGCAACAGCCACATCATAAGCCACATCATAGATACTATTTCTGATAAGCTCAGGGTCCCTAACAACTTAAACACTGCTTTCCCAAACATGGTAAGTATGTTTGGTCTGCTGCATTTCTTAAGGCAACTACATGGACATAGTGCTAACATTACTATTGAATGTTTTCAGGTATCCACACTAAATAAAAACATATAAAACATATAGTGCAAGGATATAGTGAATTAAAATGTGTTTATGCATTATAATTTTATGCATTGACAGTTTTATTAATTTAAACAATGTAATGCACTTAAATACTTACACGGTGAAATGTGTTTCGTGTTCACATAGAATATGTGTAGATGTGTGAGTGTGACCATAAAAAAAAAATAGTTGGAAACATTACTAAATCTACATTCGTTTGTAACACTTACTAGAAACACTAGATGGCAGTATTGCACCACATTTCTTTAATCCTTGCTCTTATTTGCAATTCCATAAAATCATTACACACCAGAAAGAACTCAAATACGGATGATAATTATCAGCTACAAGTTAGGTCTCCAGAGAAATATCGGAATATTGTGCAAATGAAAAAGAAATTGTTAAGACTGATTGCATCAGACACTATTTTGTTCAAGTTCTCTTCAAATGTCTTTGTTTAAAACGTTATTCTAAAACTGCATTCATGAAATGTACTGGGAAAAAAAAGAGTTCATTCAAAAGCACAATCTACTAGAATAGTTTATGATTTTTACTATGACACTTGTCCAAAAAATGAATAATGCACTTCAAGCTAATTTGGAGCTACATGTTATTTGAACAGGTATAAACTCTCATTCCTCTAACGTGCTGTTTCCAAGTCAGAAAAACTTACAAGCTTCAAAGATATCATAGGCAATAAGTCATAAGCTGGTCAACTATCATAGGGACCCCTTAACATAAAAAATGAAATTTACTGGGACTTACTCCCTATTCATTAGTGCAGTAAATCAGAGGTAATAGTTAAAACAATGGACTACTTAAGCATCAAGTCTCACGGCCAATTAAAAAAATAATATTGTTCATAAATATTAAGTATCCCGGTCCTAATTGTCTCTGTATATCGCTAAGGCCAAGACCCCTTAAAAAAAGGCCTGGATGTGGAGATAAAGAAAGAAGGGATGGCAGAACTTAGCATTTGTGGGCTGCCACTGTTAAACACAAGCACTCATGAGGGAGAATTCGGTAGTAGGAATGGGTTGTGTGGGTATTTGTGTTAAGTGGTAGTTAGTGAAAACCATTAGTTGGAGCCAATGGAATAAACAAGAGTGGGAAGTGTAACCTAAATAAAATCAGCTTTCATTTGACCTCCATAAGATATACTATTATAAAAGGTTATACACAGCAAGACTGAATTCCTTACATTTTTGTGGGCATAGTCCTTTCTTTTTATTTTTTTAATTAGTTTTTTTTTTTTTGCAGTGCAGGGATATACACATAAGCTTTTGATTACATCATAGCGAGACAAATACATATCATGAATGGTTATTTTTTTTTAATATATATAATGGTATACCAAGCCAAACACTCAATATGTCAGAGGGTGAAAAAGTTAAAAGGAGAATAAGTTGCAGTGTTAGGTATGTGGGAAGAATCAGAATGTATAAAGTAGACATGCTTAGAGGTATATGCTGAATTCAAAAGAAGCTGTTGATAGTGTGAAAATAGAAAGCATATAGCTCGATAGAGAGATGGATTTACAGGAGCAGTCCCCACGTCCCCACTTCACTCAGTGCATAGCCCTTTTTGATGGTATATTTTAATGTACATTGTGTAGGAGCTGAAATATTTGGGTTCTAGTACTCCCTCCTCTATGGAGGTACTTTACATGTATGCAGTTTATCTTGGGAAAATTATTAAAATATCGGTACCAAATTCCCTGTTTTCTTTTTTTCTTTTTTTTCTTCTTTGGTTGAATAGTGGAAATGTTATAGTTGTATCATGATTAGCCATAATATATATCTGGCACGATAAAGGAGTGGACTAGACAGTATCAGCAGTTACAATGCACTGAGTATAGGAAACAGACATCGGGAGTACTAGTCCAGAGTGTTATTGGGAGTAAGGAAGAAGAGCTAATTAGGGTAACGGTTAACATTAGGAGTGCTGCCAGAGAGAAGCAGGAGTACTTATGAGCAATTTTATATTTATTGTATTAACACAAAGCAGTGAGGGAGGTATAAGGGATCAGAAATAAGTAGTGCTGCTGGTATATGTTTATTAAGAGAGTTTCAGAGAGGAAATATTATGGGTATTGATGTCCCGAATGGTTCACCGAATGGTTCGCGAACGGTTCGCCACGAACGGTTCGCCACGGACTCATCATTGAGTAAAATTTGACCCTGTACCTCACAGTCAGCAGACACATTCCAGCCAATCAGCAGAAGACCCTCCCTCCCAGACCCTCCCACCTCCTGGACAGCTCACTAAGAATGTAGCTTCACAATGAATGTAAAATGGATGCTGTCCAGGAGGTGGGAGGGTCTGGGAGGGAGGGTCTGCTGCTGATTGGCTGGAATGTGTCTGCTGACTATGAGATACAGGGTCAAAGTTTACTCAATGATGAGTCCGTGGCGAACTGTTCGTGGCGAACCGTTCGTGAACCGTTCGCGAACCGTTCCAGAAATCACTAATTATGGGAGCATTTGTGCTTATTGATTTTTTATTGCATACTGTGAGTTGGGGTCAAGAAAGAATGGGCAGTAAGACAAGTTGACAGATTGAATATTAGTATAGAGTGGCAGAGGCAGTAATAGTCATGGAGACCTTTGGATAGTAGGAACTGGACAGGATGTTTTTCTATTGTACAGTAGGACAAGAAGTCAAGTGGTAGTTTCTAGTAGAAGAAGGAGTGGGTAGTTAACAGGAGAATGGAAATAGGAGTAAAAGAGTGGCAGCAGAGGAGGACGGTGTTGTTGCAGAATTAGAGGCTGTAGATACTCGGGGTATAAATTAGTGGATTAGGAGAGGAGGAATGGGTACTGGGATGATAAGTGATAAAAGTAAAAGGTGAAGATAGGAGTCCAGAGGAGCTAAGTCGTGGAATGTGGAATGGGTAATGATAGTATTTTTGTACTGTGGCAGTGGAAGCCAAGGAGACGTGGCGAAGTGGCATTGTATTAATAGATAGTGATTGTAATGGGGAGTGATTGGGCACAGAAGAGGGTAATGCAAATGTTAGTGGGTAACAAGGCCCAGAATAAGAGTCAGTTGGAAGAGGGAGTATTGATGGATAATGGTTGTGAAAGGCAGTTGACACAAGAGTGGTTAGTGGTGGCATTTGTAGATTGAAGAAATAGGATTGAGAGATGATTGGGTAGAGGGAGCAGAAGAAGACATAGAGAGAATAATAATGGAAGTGAAAGCATTATTCCCACACCGATGATACTCCTAATGATCCTCAGCTTTGTGTAGTTACATTCAAACAAATAGGCTAATAACACAGCACTTTCATCCTTATTTTGTGCACTAGAGGCAGAGTTCCAAAAAATAACAAAAATGTAGTAAAACTCCACTGTAACACTATAATCCATGGCAATATTGCCCAGAGCACTCTATTCAAATGGCTCATTGTATCCCTATTAGTTGTCTTACAGCCGTTATTAGACTGTACTGCTCTTAGTTTAATTAGCCAAATATTTATAGTGTGCCAAGTTCATTGGTATTTTGTTTGTTCACTTATTTTTTGTTTGCTTATTTTCTCTCCTATATTTGTTTTTTAATTGTCTATGATAAATACGATTACTTAATCAAACAGTAGAGTTATTTATTTTCAATGCATGTAGTACATTCTTCAAGAAGCTTGTTTTACCTTGCAGAAGCTGTATATCTTTTAACAGATATTGTCTGTTAAGTCAGAGATATAGAATGAAATAAGGCAGACAGTAAGCCTGGCGAACGCATATTGATCCCATGATAAACTGTAACTAACAGACTGATTGCACAGTCTGTTAGGCTAATCTTGTACCTGTGTTTCTGGTTTGTTAACTGTACACATTGAGTCAGCCTTTGATCTGTGCTTCCTAAATCCACAGTGCTTGGCAACAGGCTGGGTCTCCATGTTATGTTGGGCAGTCCAGTGCTCAGCACTGTCTTCCACATACAAATAATAATATATTATTTATTTAAGCATGGTTATATTATGTATTTAAATATCCATTGCTTTAGTGTTTTATTAACTGGTCATGCATAGGATTCATGGGTATTCTTTTATCTGAATGTCACATTTTCCTAGTCAACACTTTTACTTTATGCTTATGCATTCTCTTCTGGATGACATATATGTATAATAGACCCCCATCACATGGGTGCCCAGTACCAAGTCATTTTATTAAAAGGTCATGCGCCTGGTGGCCTGCTCATACGTCACCTAGCTATGGCTTTTATTTTCAAGTGTTACATACTCTGTTTCAATTTAAATTAAACCTTATCAACCCGAGCTTCCTGTATCTTTTTTAAGCTTTCCCTATTAGAGCTTATGAGCTCAGTTAGGTTATTGGCATAATTGTACACGACCTGAGCACTTCCAAGCAGTTTATTTGCCTAATTCAGAAGCTGACCATAACACCAGGAGAAATCTAGCTCTTTTATATCTAGGTCACATTCACAATTTTGTAATTGGTATTATGGCAAAAAGTCCTGACCTTGCTCTAGATGCACACATATTAAGTTTGAAAGTTGTTTAAATGCTAGCCAGCTCTGAGCTATCTATATCAAAGGTCACATACTCGGTTTGGTATTAAGTATGATGGCAAATTATGTTCCTCTATAGTGAAGTTTTGTTTAATTCAATGTTTTAATCCTACTGCACCTAGCATGAGTGCAGGGCCGCCATCAGGGGGTGAGAACCATGATGGTTGTCATAGGTCTGAAAGGGCCCAATGGGTGGCCCATGCATTTACTGCCACCCGATGGGCCCTATATCTTCAGGGACCTGGTCAGAGATGCGGCCGTGTAATAGCGCGACTGGGCTCCTTTAAAAAAGTAATCCGCAACGAGTGCTGGGAGGAAGACGGCCAGTCACTTCCTCCCAGCCTACTCCGCTGGAAGGAGGAAAGGCAGAATGTAGCCATACTCCCATCAGCCCCAGCCACCCACCTGTACTGCAAAGATAAGAAACAGGAGGGTGGCTGAAAAATGAACTGTGTGTGTGTATGCATGTATGTGTGTGTGTATGTGTGTCTATGTCAAAATGTGTATGTGTGTGTCAGTATGTATGTGTCTGTATGTGTGTTTGTGTGTCATTGCATATGTATGTCTATGTCAGTATGTATGTATGTATGTGTCAGTATGTATGTGTATCTATGTCAGTATGTATGCATGTGTGTGTGTCTGTACATACGTGTGTGTGTCAGTATGTATGTAAGTACATATGTGTGCACTTGCGCTATATAATTAGTTACTGCAGCACTGGTGGGCAGTAAGGAAATCTTACCATCAACAAAGATACAAAAGTGTGTGGTAGGTATTATAAGATTGACTGCCCCTGGTATAGATCATGACCCTGCAGACTCACTACTCAATTGTCTGCCATTTAGGAGTTAAAAAGTGATTTAACTCACTTTTTTTTTAATACATTTTTTTTATAAATTATTTTTATTTGTTTTTTATAAACAATGACAAAGAGTGTACAACAATCATTGATAAAATGAATCGAAGCTAATACATAGTAAGAATTAACATGTAATTACTATCTGTCTTCTTTTACCAGAATTATGGACACTGTAACAAAATGAACAGTTTCAGCAAAGACTTGTGGATTAAAATGCAGTTCGGGACTTTACAAGCATTCTCCATGCGAATGCTTGCTAAGTACTAACAGGCCACCCTGACTCTAAATTGAGAGTAATTTACCTCCCTGCTTGATAGGCATTTTCGTGGAAAAACCGCATGAACACTATTGGAACTGTATGCACGGCCGCCATTTTGGGACTTCCACGTGTTCGCGGCCATTTTAACTCCCGAACAGCGGTGTTTGCCGTCGAGTGTCTGGAACTAAAATCGGACACTCAAATCGGCGAACACCGCTGAGACCTCCATACCTTCGGGAGAGACACGCCAAAACTACTGAACGACAGGGCATTCGGTAGAAAAACTCAGCAACAGATTGGGATTTCAGCGAACCCAGGATGGCATACAGATGGCCAGCCGTTCGGGAGTTTTTACACATGATCTAAGACCGACTGCAGGGCCTGTATTCATGGAACTGTTTTCGTCTACTCGCCTGTGCGGTCGGTCAAAACTTTCAAGTCCCATATCTCCCGAACGACTGAACCGAATGGGCTGATTTTTAAATATGTTAGTCCCCCAGAAACAAGCTATGTGGGGACACCAAGTATTTGGGGAAAATATGTTCCTTTTTAATTATGTTATTTAGTTATCTAAGGGGAGGAGATGTACAGAATGTATATTGTCTTGATTGGTTATACTGTTAATTATGTGGGTGTCTGCATGGGCAGAATCACATAAAAGAGAGTGTCTGTCAATAAATCCTTAGTTCTTCTTGACCCTTCAAAACGTAGCCTCGTCTCGTTCTTGAAAGGGGAATCTCTGCAGCATAATCACTCAGCTCTTTTCAGAGCTGCACTTGACTTCTACTCCTGATCCAGCAGAAGGGAATAGGCAACTCCATCACTACACAGCGACTTGCTGGGAAGAAAAGGATGTCCCCAACGGCTGATACCCTCACCATAACAGGGTAGCCGTTACAGACACAAACAATTTTGTTCACAGATTTTGTTCGTACATCTAGAGATTACAGAAGTCCAAGATTTGTGGCGTTTGGGGGAGGGCGTTTAGTGGGTCCACAACCGTAAATAGAAGGTCATCAGCGAACGCCACTTCTTTGATAACAAAGCCCCTTATCAGCTAGTTATCCATGATCCCTTGTAAGAATGGCTCTTGTACAAGAATGAAAATCATGGGGGAGAGAGGGTGTCCTGCCTCGTACCATTTCGTATCGGAACTGGTTCAGATAATTGCCTGTTAATTCTCAGCCTCGCTGTGGGGGATGAGTATATTGCACCCAACCACTCTAGCCATCTCTCCCCGAAACCTAAGCCTTTCAATGTGGTCAGCATAAGGGTCCAATCTACCCTATCGAATGCCTTCTCGGCATCGATCGCTAGCAGAATACTGGGAGAGGAATTGCCCATGGTTGCCGCCCAGTGCATTAGATTGATGATCTTGGTGGGGTTATTTTTGGTTTCCCTGCCTGGGACGAACCCGACCTGATCATTGTGTATAAGTCCCGAGAGGAAGGGTTTCAGTCTGGTGGCCAATATTTTTGTGAAAATCTTAATATCTATGTTTATTAGTGATATGGGTCTATAGCTTCCGCAGTTAGTTGGGTCTTTGCCCTTTCTAGGTATTAATGCTATGTTTCGTTCTAATGCTGAGTGAGGGATAGTGTGCTTCAGGTCCTTTGTGTTAAAGGCATTAAGGAATAGCTGTGACAGGCTTTGGGACATGAGTCTGTAGTATTTGCCAGTAAAGCCATCCGGGCCTGGGCTCTTCCCTACTAGTAACTGTTTAACTGTGTGTAGAAATTCTTCTGCTGAGATTGGGCTCTCTAAGAATTCCCTCGCATTGGGTGGTATGGTGTGTTTGATTCTCTTCTGAAGGAAATTCTGTATGTCAGTAGGGTCGGGTGGGGAGTCCTGGAGATGGTAAAAATCTGTATAATATTTTGTAAAGGCCCTCATAAAGTCTGGTATCATCTGAGTGTGTGACCCATCCTGGAGTTTAATGCTAGACACAAAGGTTGATTGTCTGCCTTGTTGCAGAGCTTGGGCCTTCCACTTTTACCCCCCTGGGTGTAATAGGTGTGTTTAGTTAGGTGAATTTTCCTTTTAGCATGGAGGTTTAGAGTGGTAGTGAGTTCCATGCATTTCGTTAATAAAGTTTTATAAGTTGTTAGCAAGTGGTCAGTGGAATGCTGTTCCTCTAGCTTTTTGATCTCCTGGGTTAGGGTTTTTACTCTACTATCTCTTTGGCATTTATGGTCAGAGACTATTTTTATTAGTTCTCCCCTCACTACACATTTATGTGCTTCCCATATTATGGCCGGGGCTGTATCTGGATGGTCGTTCTATGTGAAATATCGCTTCAGGTGTGCATGTAATTTAGCATTAGTATCTGGGTTATTTATCAGGAGGTCATTAAGTCTCCATTGGGGGCGTGGTTTAGGCAGGGAAGGGATCATCAGATCTACTGAGAGGGGAGCGTGGTCTGACCACGAGATCTGGCCATAGATGGCCCCCTTGAGAAGGGTTAAATGTCTATGTTGGAGGAATATCATGTATATTCGGGTATAGCTGCCTGATGGCGGTGAGTAGAAGGAGTAGTCTTTCCTAGTTGGATGTAGAGTCCTCCAGCTGTCATAGAGTCGGGCGTCGTGAAGGATAGTGTGGAGTCTAGTGCAAGACGGGGTAAGATAGTCACTGTATGAGGAAGATGTGTCTAAGTCACTGTCTAGGGTTATGTTCATGTCGCCCCCCCATGATCAGTATGCCTTCTTGAAACTGGGAAAGTTTGTGTAGGATCTTCTTTAATGCCTGGCATTGTTTCCTGTTAGGGAGATATAGGTTGGTTAAGGTGTCATGTTTCCAATTTTCCCTTTCGCAAATATGTATCATCACGCGTCATCTGATAATTGTTCTGTGAAATGCAAGGGGACTTGGTGCCCTATCAATATCGCTACTCCTCTAGATTTCACTCCTATGTAATGGCTAAAGTAGCCTGTGAGGTAGCTGCGATTTCGTAGGCATGGGGCTGTGTCTTTCCGTAAACGGGTTTCTTGGATGAATGCTATCTCAGCTTTGTGTCTATGGAATTCCGCCAGAGCTAGTGATCTTTTTTTAGGTGTGTTCAGCCCTCTCGCATTTTGTGAGTGAATGCAAATAGTGGTCATGATGTGGAGACGGTATATAGTAGTGTCCCTCCTTCAAGGGAGTGAGTTGGGGCTCTATACGTAGCAGATTGGACTTAGCTGTCAACCTCTAGGTCCTGTAAGAACTCAGTCTATAGATGCTGACTATCTCGAATGTCTTGCTGCCTGTAATGTGCGTAGATAGTAATTGATGGGTCAAACGACCAACTGTGTGTGAATACAGATATAGAATAAAACAATATATTTAACATCCAACACTAAAACGCTGGTGCGGGATTTGGTTAGTGAAGAAAGTATTTACTTAAAGTATAGGGATGGTCATCTCGCACCGTATCGGGCAATCTGCCCTAGGTGTAGGGGATAAGGTAAATGGCTACCGAATAGGTAGCAACCAGTGTAAACTTGATTAAGTGCAAGTTCTCTCTCTCTGTGCAGGAGAGGAACTGCTGTGTGAGTGGGTGTGTGGCTCAGTAGCAACCTGAAATAGTGAGCTCCACCTCTAGAGCATATAAGTTTTAGGAGACTGGGAGAAGTATTACAATTTATTTATTTTTAACCTTATAGTGAATGGTTACGGGGGGGGGGGGGACACTAGCCAGAGGTTAAGTAGTTAAGTGGTGTAGCGGGGGGGGCGCATTAGTAACATCCAGCAATTAATTTATACGATCTGTGCAAGCCTGTCACCCTCAAATTATTCCTACAGCCGCGGTTGTCAAGGTCATCCATATATCTTTGGAACCCGGCCATGCTTGCTTGGGATTCCATCGTGGAGGAGAGGTGGGTGATTTGGGCCGAGTCAGTGACTCGCTGATTTACCTGTTGTACCTCTGCCTCAATAGTTTCCACTTTGGTTTGGAATGTTGCCTCCTGCTTACCTAACATGTTGGCTAAGTCAGCCTTCGAGGGTAAGCTTTTCAGGATTTCTCTTATGTCTGCTTCCCGCCCTGCGACTTGGGATCTGCAGGAAAGGTCAGAAGGCGCCGGGCTGGTCGGCGAGATATCTGCTTCTGATTCCGCCGCCATTTTTTCCTCTCCGGCTCCAGCCTCGACCTCGCGGTCTGAGAATTCCCGGAAAAAAGCAGGCTAAGGAGTCTGATTTGTGATCGGGGTCTTCCCCATTCTCTCGTGGGTACCTCCTTGTCTTTTGGGGTTCCCCATAGTCCATTCAGCTATGCGGTTGTCCACGCTCCCCGTTAAATCACTTTTGTGTCTGTTTATGCAGCCTCAGCCACACATCCCCTCGCTCTGACTGACACAGCATGCATGAACAAGTAATGGTTTAATTTTCAATCAGATTACTTACTTTAGATGTTTTTATGTCCTCCTCTGTAAACTTAAGTGTAATTTCACACACAGGAGGCTTCTACAAACCCTAGCAGGCAATTAACAGTGTAGGAGATAATAAATTATAAATTAAACAGAATTTGCAATGAAGGATGTTTAAACATTAGACCTCTTTTTACAGGAAGTGTTTAGGAAAGCTGTGTAAGTCATATGCAGGGAAGTGTGATGGGGGGTGGGTATTTGTATTTGTCATATGTTGCTGCAATAAAAGCAATTTTACTTTACTCTTGAGTCCACTTCTTTATTCAGTGATTCCAAGGAGACAAGGAGGATTCCAGCCCCTCAGCTTCTTCAGGGAGGCACCTATAGAGTGATTTTATATTCTACTTTTCTGCAACAATTTAAAGTGCAGACATATTGCACTATATATTGTTTTCCTTTTTGTAGATCTTTTCGGCTCGATTTGTGTATGTATATATAATTTCTTAATAGCAGAGAATTGAGCTATGAGATTGCAGGGGCATGATCTGTACACCAAACTGCTTCATTATGGTAAAGATGTTTTGGAGACTTTAAAATTACAGTAAATGATCATGGACAGTATAAAGCCTGATAAAATAGTGAGCAGTTGAAAAACTTGCTATAATTTTTTTATAATTTGTAAAAATTCATTTTCACAAAAATAACCTCACCACAGGCCAGTCCTCGTGATCCAAAATTCAGCACTACACATTTCAGCATATGTAAGCTTTCATCAAGGTTTAAAAGACATAAGCATCAGTCCAAGCAGCAATGTTAAAGAGTCCCTGATTAACAATCCTACTCCCTCCTCTATTCCAAACATCCAAGCATGATCTATACACCAAAACCACTCAGTTAAGCTCAAGTTGTTCTGGTGCCTACAGTGCCCCATTAGCGTGGTTCTCTATCTAAGCTTGCTCTTCTTTTGAATCACTTCAGATCACTATAAAAACATTTTACAGTTAACTCTGAAAACACATGACTGCTGATCCAACCAGTTCCAACCAACAACCCATTTCCCCCCAATAATACACGTGACACGTCATTCTTGTGGATAAGGGCAAAGGCCACAGCTTTATTTAAATTAACAATTTAACTCAGTCCAAATCTGCCAGCTGTTGGGTGTTTGCCCAACAGGCAGTTCTCACACACATTTGGTACCATGAGCCTCGACAGCCAGCTCCTCGCCATCAGCTCCGTGCCGGCTGTCGTATCCCCAATGTCCTTTCTTCCTCTGCGCTGTCCAGGGAAACAGCTAAGCTGTAACAACACAAAAACAACATTACGAGACACAAGCCACAACACCAGAAACAGGGAGGGAAGATGGGAAAACAGTCTGGAGCCCTCAACTGATCCTGCTGACTGGTAAGTCCCCTCCCTCTCCCTTTCCTTAAGAACCCCCAACCTTAGCAACATTTTATCTTCCCTGATCCATCCCACAATCTTGGGCAGCAGTCATGTTCTCCCTTCCTTATTATTCCAGGGGGAATCTTTTTACACAGTTGACCCACATATGCTATGTTTCTTTTTGAACTTTCTTGTTCATGCTGCCGCTACGGAGACATCTACACTAATCTTCCATAAAAAGGTTAAGCATATTTTTAAGAAAGCAGAATGATGATTGTCATATTTACATTCATATTGCAAGCATGGCTAATGAGCCACATATTTGTTTATGCGATTTGTCAACAAGCCTTTTGTGACTGTTAATTATTTACAAATCTTCTTTTTGTCCTATTTAGGCTTATCGTATGGACAGGTACGGCTTATTGACCATCTTAATGTTGAATATTTTGCATTACTCAGAACCATAACTGTATATATTTTGTTTGTTGTCCTGCAAAAACATTCTTGAAATAGGTTATAAAGCCTATTTACAGTAGATTTATGTTTTACTGATGTACATTATGTGTGAAATCAAACTTGTTTTCTACCGTTAGTAATACATCTTACCTTATTTCATCATTTTAAAAATCATGATGCACTATAGGGGTTGGAAAAAAAATTACAAGTGGTGCTTAGTATGTTTGGGGTGCAGTGTCTTTGGTTAATCTGGTTTTAGTAATGTGGTCCTGTGAGCCTTTTAATCAACCCACAGTAGAGTATTTCTGTGCTTCCTTTACATTTTCGCCATTCTGCTTTTAATCCATAAAACCATATTCCAAGAATCTAAGTTTGCCTTGAGGTTTATACAGGGAAGGGGGAATTGAGGAAAATTGATAAGGGAATTACAAATAGCAAACCTTTAAAAAACCTCACATTTTTCCATGTGTTTTATTTAGATGATAAATATAAATTATTCACAATTCCCAGCAGAATTAATAATTCTACTGGTACCTCATGGGTAAAGCAGGAAATACAACTGCCTTAGCTTTGTAAAGTGTGGCTGTGCAAGTTTTATATTGTTTTTTTCTCCATGTTCTTTCTATATACTGTGATGCTTTGTGTTGTCAGCAGGCCATTTTCACAAACCCTCAGCAGTCCTCAAAGAAGCTGCTTTTCTGTAGGTAATTATATGCCTTTCCTCTGACAAAGTTCGTGCTGCAATAAATATATGTTGTTATGTAGCACTCAAGCAAGTGCATGTTTAACCAATTGTGTACCAAACCAAGAACACATTTCTGTATTTGTCCAGTTACATCGATTTCCAATTGTTAACAAGTACACAATATAACAGCAATGTATTGTTTAGATTTTTGCAACATCAATATGAACCTGCATTCATGAGTATAAACTCAGTTATACAATTGGTGGCATGCCTTTTTCATACTCTCAGTATACACCTTATTATTTGTGTTGTGTCTTATTGCCACGGCTGCTGTTAATATCGATACTATGGCACTACTTGTAAAATTAAAGTTTAATTGGGTTCAATTTATTAGGGTTTACAATAAAATATAAGAAATAAAAGTGTTAATATTCTATCAACAGCTGTCAAAAAGCAACAGAACTATTTAGCACAACTTTACAATGCAATTGCACTCACTGTTAATTTACAATTTGGATGAAGATTTGTAGACATCTATTCATCTAGTTAGCCAGTGCTGAGATCTAGACTGTTTGAAGTTTCTGCCGCTGATGAGGTTGTTACAGTGATACATGTTTATTAAGTCGATGTAGTTCCTATGGATATTGCTTGTTCCTATTTTCCTTTTCGACATATTTTCCAAGTCAACTGAGTGTCCTTTTACTTGAGATCACAATATTAAATCAATAGTGCCCAGAGATACATGGTCTTAATAAGGACCAGGAGACAAGACATACTCTGTTACTTTCATAATGTGTCAAGGGGCAAGGGAACCATAATTCTGAGAACAGTCGGTTATCACATGGCAAGGTTTGCTATATGTTTGTGATCCCAATACCCAACAACCTTCCTGGTAGTAGAGACATTAAATACCTCATTAAAAAAGAAAAATGAATTTCTGACAGCTCTTGTTTCAATGAAAAAGGTTCAATACCCCCAGGAATAGACAGTTAAAAATTTATTTTTGATGCTTCCATCTGCAAGAGAAATAAAAATTACTATTATCCTTGAAAAAGCTTCCAATAGTCAGTTACTCTTTATACATGAGAAATTGTTATTCAGAACACCTGGTTCAATTCAAGTGTCTGAGATATGTCATATACAGTATAATATCGGCATAATAACATTGAATCATAGCAGAAGGATGTCATTTGTATAGCTTGTGTCAGGTAAATCTTCCTTTTCAAATATTATACTTTGCCTATTACATTATTATACCAACATTTTTAAAGTGGATGCTTCAATAAAATTTCATAACTTTAAATTGGCTAGGATCATCCTCTACATGACATCATCAGCCGGTTAATCTTGACACTAGAAGTAAACATATGAGGTTAAACTGATATTATCACAGAACCGGCATGATGATAGATATTCCTCCTCAGTTTAGCAATTCAAACAGCACCAAACTGGAAATGTATATTTAATAGACATGTGCACAGAAAAAAAAATGGTTTGTTCAAAACGATTTGTCTGAACCTGGGTGCTGCAGCAGTGACCCAGGACTCTCTAGTGGCCATCAGAGTGACTGTCACTAGAGGCTTTACTAAGCAGCAATGTAAACTCTGCCTTTTCATGGAAAAGACAATGTTTACACTGAAACACCTGCATGGACAGGCTATAGACACCAGAGCAACTACATCAAGCTGTAGTGGTTCTGGTGACTATAGTGTCCCTTTAAGAATTGCACTTTCTCATTGAAAATGACTGGCTCCTATCTTCCAAACAAATTTGTGAAGCCCTATCTATCTATCTATCTTTCTTTTTGGGGATTATATTAAATGTATTCATTCAACCAAATTCATGTAGACTTTGTAATGATCCATAAACGTCTATTAAATCTGCATCCTCTCTATTTGCGCAAAAAGGGTTTAAAGCAGCACTGTCACGCCAAACTTACTTTCTCCTATTGTTTCCTCTTCTCTTCCTCCCTTAGAATCTGTTCTTCTTTTCTTTATTTCTGATCTAGTTCTCTTTAAAACATAAAACAAAGTAGGGGCTACTCAGTCTTACATATTTTTTCTACGCCTGACATTCTTTGACATTCCAGCTCGCCCTTCCTGTGTCATGGAGAATGGTGAGTACTTTCTCTGACGCAAGAAATGGAGCCGACTTAAACTTCTCATGTGGTCAAAGAAAGTAAGGCACAGGAAAAATACATAAGGCAAAGTAGTTCCTACTTTGTCCTATG